TCTCTCTCTTTTCACAGCTTGAAGCTAGAATGTGAAAAACTGGCAACGGAAAAGACAGAAATCCAGCGCCATTACGTCATGGTGAGCGCCCACCTGGGCCGGGCTGGGGGCAGCCGGCTCCTCGAGCCGCTCGGTGCCAAATCCCCTTGGGTTCCCTTGGCTCTGACCTGTGTTTGGGCCTAGAGACGGGAGCAGCTGGGTCCTGCCCCGGTGCTGAGTTGTTTTTCGTCTCGGCCTTGCTGTCCTTGCCTGGCTCCGAGCCGTGGAGGCGATGGGCTGAGAGATGCTGGTGGTTTCCCCCTCCTTGCTGCTGGAAGGGACGTGGGGCAGAGATCACGGGGGGATGGGACCGTCTTGGGCTGCGAGCGTACGGGGATTGGGTGGGACCTCCTGGTCCTGGCAGCCCCCGATGCCATGAGAGCGCAGGGCCAGGCCGCCTGGCGCCGCGGCCTGATGCTGCTTCCTTCCCTTGCAGTACTACGAGATGTCCTATGGCCTCAACATCGAGATGCACAAGCAGGTGAGTCCCCGGCTCCTCCCTGCTGCCTCACTGGGCCCGTCCCCGCAGCTTGTCTCCTTGTGGCCACTTTCTGCCCCCAACCACCTGGCTGGAGGGCGCGGGTCCGTGCAGGGGTGCACCGGTGCCGTGTGAGGGTCCGTGCCAGGCGTGCCCAGCTCTTGGGCGCCTGCACAGCCAATTCCACCTGATCTCGGGCACCTCTTCACGTGGGTGGGAGTGGGATGTGTCCTGGCCACCTTGTGCAGGGGGTGGTGGGGAAGGGGAAGCAGCAGATCTCTGCGGTCTCAGGGGCCCGGCTGGAGCTGGGAGTGGTGAACAGTTTCCCCCCCCAGGGCCAAAAGATGTGAGTGTTGCCTCCTTGCTCCCTCTCTTTCCCTGGGTCCCCAGCTGCTCCTCATCTATTTTTAAAGAGGCTGCAGAGCAGCCTGGCAGCGGGTGCCTGAGCCCAGCGCCCCCCTTCCCACCCTCCCTCCCTCCCTCCCTCTGGTCGTGCAACTGTTGCTCATGCCCAGCCTCTGGGGAACCTCGCACCCAGAGCCAGGCACAACCCAGCCCAGGCCTTTCCTGCCTTGGGGGTGGGATCTGGCCTGCAGCCCCTCGCTCCAGGGAGGGATCAGCAGGTCCCTTGGTGCAGGCCGCTCTGGACAGCCGGGTGGGCAGAAACCCAGTGGGCGACAGGGAGACGGACCCCGCTCTGCTCCCCTCCCCGGCCTCCCCCGGAGGGGGCCCGGCTGCCTGCTCACTTCATCTGGCTGCCTCTCGCAGCCTGCAATATTTACTGCCGGTCCCAGGTGCCGCTGGCCACCTGCCAGCATGCTGTCTGCACTTTTAACAAGGGCCCGCACGTCTGGGCTCTGGCAGCCCGCGGCCATTGTGCAAGCGCTGGGAGCTGCCCACGCGGGGGGCCTGGGGCAGCATCGGCGCGGAGGGCAGGTCGGGCTTCCCTCCCCGGGCAGAGACCCCTACCCGGCGACCTGCCACCCGGGCCTCCGCCAAGCCACGCGGGCCCTCCGTTATCTGGCTTTATCGCAGGCTGGCAGAAGGGTTGGCTCGTTAACTCGGTGCTCAGCAAGGAATCTCCGTCGTAAAATGGCCGGGCAGGCGAACGGGCAGGGGGGTGGCGATGCAGCCTGGGCTCGTGGCTCCAGCCAGGCGCCCGGTGCCCCCAGCTGGTACCGGTGCTGGTGGGCTGGGCACACAGAGCCCCTGAGGGGACGTTGCCAGGCTTTGACTGCCCACGGGCAACCGGATGAAGGCTGGCAGCAGATCCTGGTGCTCTCCATGCCTCCGTGCCCAGCACAAAAGACCCAGACCCGTCTGCCCTTGGCAGCCCCCGCCCTGCCCCGGAGCTGCTGGGAGCAAAGGGGCCGCGGGCTTTGGAGCCGCCGGCCTCATCCCACGCGGTGAAGGAAGCCCTGGTTCTGGTTCCTTGCCCCAGGCTGGGGTTTTATTCCTCGGCTCGGCGGGGGGAGGCTGGCTTCTATTTTAACAGCCGCTCTGTGCTGTGCTATAAAGCTGTGGTGAGGTGGGGGCTGCGGCCTGGAGCCAGGGAGATATTTTTGGCAGGTTTTTGTGCTGTACCTTTGTAAAGGGGAAGCAGGGAAGGGGTGGGGGGGGTGGAAACCCAGATCTGCCTGGACCTGGGCTCTTACACCCAAAGCGAAAGACAGGCAAGGAAGGGGGGGGAAGAGCCCTGAAAACAGCACGATCATTTTTCATGCTGAGAGCGTTAAAGTGCCAGTAAATTGCACATTAACGAGTGCAGGCGAATCGGAGGCAGTGCTCCCAGAGGAGCCAGCTGCCCATCAGTGCATTAGGAAGGAGAATCCATCACTGCGGCCCCAGGAGGCGGCGAGATCCTTCCCAGCAACTACCTGCTGCCAAGGCTTTTTTTTTTTCCTTCCAGGGGCTGGTGTGCATCTGGGGGAGGGGGAGGCCGGCTGGCTTCCAGCGGGAGCTGGCAGAGCCCTTTCTGGTGCCGCCGGGTGGGTCTTGGCAACAGGAGTCTGCGGAGGGGGCGATGTGTTGCCTGGCTTTGTTGGGCTGGGGGGCATCCAGAGCAGAGCCCCCCTCGTGCCAGGTGCTGCGTGGAGGCATGAAGCTGTCCCTGCCTGGTGCGGGGGGCAATGACTTGGCCAAGGTCACGTGGCTGGTGGTTGGCACTAGACCCCCAGTGTCTGGGCTTCCCAGCCGGCGCCTTGCGCTACCCCGGGTGGGTCTCCAGCCCGCTCGTTGGGCATCGGTCTACTGGGCGCGTCTCCCCTCGTTGGGCAGAGATGGGGAGGAGGGCAAGGTACTCCATGGGCTCGGGGGAGTTGCAAGCGCCCGCCCATACAAGCTTTGAGAGGCTCCGTCTGCCTGTCGCTCATCTCCTGGGTGTGGAGGGCAGCAGCAGAGGGGGTCTCTGGCCCGGTGGCTCAGGGCAGTGATTGAAATGTGGTTTCCCACCCCCCTCCCGCCCCCTTCCTGCCCTCGGTCCTTCTGATTGCTCGTGGCACTCAAGTGTTGCAGAAAAACAGCAGCTGTAACGAGAGCACCTCTCCAGGGCTTCCTGGCAAAGCAGCGAGAGCAGCAATTAGCACTCCCAGCGCCACCGAGCGCCTGCCTTTGGGCAGCGGGGGGAGACCCCTTGGCGTGGGGAGGCGAGAGAGGCTCCTCTCCCCACCCCCGGGGTCGATGAGCACCTCGCCGGCTGTCACTCGCGGGAAGATTTCGGGGGTGGGGGCAGGGCTCAGGGTTCCTGCGCACTGCCCTAGCAAATGCGTGGCCTTGAGGGTCCGGGGGGAGACACGGATGGGGGCTTGGAGGCCTGGCTCTGCTCTTCCAGAGCTGCTGTGAGCTTCCCCCTCCATGGTGCTGGCAGGGACAGGGATGCCTTGTGTGCCAAGTGGTTTGTCCCCTTCATGGTGTCCTGCGAGGCCACTGGACTGGGTGGGGATGTGGCAGGCGCTTTGGGCCAGCTGCGCGGGGCGGGGGGTGGTTTGTGTGCCCCACTAGAGGCGCAGGTCGGAGCCAGAGAAAGGCAGTGGGTCTCCCAAGGGCTGGGTGTGGAGAGAGGCCCTGTAGTCTGGCTGTGACGCTCCCCCTGCTCCTGGGATCTGCAATGAGCACAATGGCTCCTAGCCAGGCTGGGTGCCAGGGGCTCTGGCTGGCAGCCTGGGCCCGCAGGCGGTGCTGGCAGTGGTGGAGCAGAGCATGGCTCAGCCAGCCCTGTGGTCCTGTGCCAGCTTGTGCCCCGGGCCCAGAGGCAGGGAAGCGGCTCCCGGGCGCTGCTGATGCCCGCCCGTGCCTTCTCTTTGCAGACGGAGATCGCGAAGCGGCTCAACGTGATCTGCGCCCAGCTCATCCCGTTCCTGTCGCAGGAGGTGGGTGCGGCGGGCAGGCGGGCAGGGTCCCGGGGGTCTGTCGGGGCTGGGTGAGGGAGGCCGGAGCCGTTCCCCAT